GGTAAGGAATTCTGTTAACCCGAGAGAAGGTGTGAGGCACTCTCGAATTCCATAGTTTTAGCACGGTCGCTCAACTATTAATAATTGGCCTAGTTATCTGATTTAATACATGTTTTAAACCTATATGTACATTTTTATTTTTTTAACCGTTTTTAATTATTTATGAAACTTATTTGAACAAGTCGCGATATCGCAAAGACATTTATTTCTGTACATATTATGAATCGCGTCACGTGAAATGCACCCGCAATTTACAACGTGTTTATTTTTATTATTATTCGAAGTTGAAGTCAAGTCGCGTGAAATGCGCACTTGAGTTGGGGTTTACATATCGTGACCATGCCACGGGAACCATACCCATAGTCACGATGATTTATTAATCGCGCCTAAAGCAACTAGCACGTGTTCATAATTTATTTTTTCTTACGGGTTTGAGATTTGTGTAAGGTCAAGAGCTATGAGAATCAATTGTGAAAAATGGGTCATCTTTTGCTCTTACTAAATTGGGCATGACAAAAACTATTTTGGACTAGATAAATTAAATTGGATCGTAGTATAATTGGCCCTTTAAAGCCAATTAATGAGTATGCCCAGTTACTAGTTCATCAAGCTACTCCACTATCAATTAGTCAATTGCAGTAGTACATGTTTCATTAAGCAAAGTCCAAACACCGGGCCCAATCATTATTTTTTTTAAAGTCCAAACCTCATTTTCCAATTTCAACTAGCAGACATAGATTTTATCACCAAAGTTCAAACATTCACTACGTGCCCAAAAATCATGTTTTTTTATCAATCTTCATGTTAATCATCAAGAAAGTAGCAAAATTTAACAAAGCTAATGAGACCTAACAATTAATACAGAAAAAAAAATTCAATCTTCATGAATCTAAATAAGATCAAATTATATATTCAAGCATAATATCTTAATAAAATAATGATGAGAGAAATGGACCTTTACAAGACTATTTTGAAACTCGGACAATGGACAAGGATGTAAATGGAGCCTCGACCAAAATCGACAAATGGAGCTCGAACTCGACGACTCAACTTTGGAGCTATTATTTTCTATACAAAAGGGGACTGTTTTGCTGGGTTTTCGGCTCGGTTTTGTCGTGCTTTTTAGCTTGGTTTCTAGTTGGTTTCGGGGTTAGAGTTTGTGATGGATTGCTGGATTTTTCGAAAGAAAGCCGAAGAAAGAATGACACAAATAGAAATTTCCTTAACGTAGAATAAGCAAAAATATTTCTCTCAATTCCCTCCTCCCTATTTTTTTTCTCCTTCTCTCTCCTTTGTTTTCATCACATTTCACTTCTATTTATAGAAACTTTTTTTGAATTTTTCAGATTTTTAATTTTTATTTATTTTTTTATTTTTAATTTAAAAGAATTTTCACTTCCCATTTTTCTTATTTTTTAAAAAAAGTAATTCCCCACTTTCCTTTACTTTTATTTTTTAATTTCTCACTTTTTTTACTTTTAATATATTTAAAATCCCCCTTTTTTTTACTTTTCATTTTTTTTATTTCCCACTTATTTTACTTTTTCTTTTTTTTAATTTCCACTTACTTATACTTTTATTAAAAAAAATCAGATACTCTTACTTTTATTTTTTAATTTCTCACTTTTTTTACTTTTAATATATTTAAAATCCCCCTTTTTTTTACTTTTCATTTTTTTTATTTCCCACTTATTTTACTTTTTCTTTTTTTTAATTTCCACTTACTTATACTTTTATTAAAAAAAATCAGATACTCTTACTTTTATTTTTTAATTCCAACTTTATTTTACTTTTCCTTTTTTAAATTTCCACATTCTTTTACTTTTATTTTTTTAATTTTCCACTTTCTTTTACTTTTTTTATTAAACAATTTCTACCTACTTTTACTTTTTCTTTTTAATTTTATATTTCTACTTTTCCTATTTTTTAATTCCCATCCGAAAATTGTTTTAAAAAATAATAATAATAATTAATTTTTATTTATTTTCTCTATTTAATTCATTTTATTTAAAAATAAAGATAAAAATAATAATAAAAATAATACTAATAGTAATAATTGACCTTTTAAATTATTAATAATTTTTCTATATATATATATATAAAAGTGTAACAAAGCCAAAAAATATATATTAAATTCTAAAAATATTTACATAGTAGAAGGTGATAAAAATTTAAATATAGTCAAAAATTAGGTGCTCACAATCCATATCTTGTCCTGTTTGTGAGCTAGGCCGCAACATGTTTTTGTCACTACATCTTTATTCCACAATTTGATGTTGATTAGGTTTAATCCTCCCATGGATGTTGGAGAGCATACTTTTTCCCATGCTACCAGTGATTTCCTTGTGATTGTATTAGTTTCAGACCAGACAAAGCTCCTACAGTAAGCCTCTATAAGTGACAAGATTTTTGCAGGTATTAGGAATAATTGAGCCCAATATAATTGTACCCCAAAAATAACTGATTGTACCAACTGAACCCTGCCTGCATAAGAGAATTTTTTGGCAGTTCAGGAAGTGATTATAGCTGTAATCTTGTCAACAAGTGGCTTTCACTGGATAAGATTCAGTTTCTTTGTTGATAATGGTACACCAAGGTACTTGAAAGGGAGGTCTCCTTGGTTGAATCCCAGCTTAGCTAGTATTGTTTCTTTCTCCTAATGTGGAACCCCTCCAAAATATACACAACTCTTCCCCATGTTAGCTTGAAGGCCAGAGGCTGCAGAGAAATGAAGGAAGCATTGTTGCATTGCTGCTACTGATGCTAGGTCTCCTTTAGTGAACATAAGAAGATCATCTGTAAAACTGAGATGAGTGATTCCTAGCTTAGCACATCTAGGATGATATTTAAAAGCTTTTACTTCTTTGAGTTCATTCAGGCATCTACTAAGGTACTCCATAGCCATAGCAAAGAGAAAAGGTGACATTGGATCCCCTTACCTAAGACCCCTTGCAGCATTAAAAGGCTATGTTGGTTCCCTATTTATCACAATCATATAGTTCATTGTATGCACATATTCCATTATCCAAGTAATAAATTGGGATGGAAAACCTAGTTCAAACATGACCTGTTCCAGAAAAGGCCATTCAACAGAATCATATGCCAATTTTGATCATGCATCTAGGTGATACTCGTTTCCTGGTGTAGGACTTCACTAGTTCATGAGCCAGTATGATTAGGATGGTTTTGAAAAGTCTAATTTTGGTTATACATAAGAAAATAACCGAAAAATTGATATGATACAAATTTATAAAATAACTGGCCGAACCGAACCATTGACACCCTTAGTTGTACTGTACATTTATCTTTCCCTAGTAATAAAATTTACTTAATTACAAAAAAGAAAAATAATAATTCTTACAGAAAAACTAATAATTCTTAATTATTTAGTACTACCATTTTTTTTTGGTTCATTGAATTAATATACACACATACATATATATATATATATATATAGGGTATGTATTAACAGATGCGGATCCAGGATTCGAAGGTTGCGGGTGCCACCATGTTATGCATACAATATACATGTCAGTAGCTACAAAGACAGATTAGGAATATTGGGTCGGTCCGCTTAGTTTTTGGTTAATTTGAATAGGCCTTTCATTTACAAAGCAAATAAGTTCGATTTTAGTTCAATTCTTTTACGCTTAATTTAAACACATTCTAAATAAAAATGCAAAAAAAAAAAAAAAAAAAAAAAAAAATATTTCATGAAAGAGCGACTCCAATATAAATATTTGCTTAAAGAGTAGTTTAACTACACTATATATTCTTTGTTTGACTAGATTAATTTACTTGTATTGTTCTTTGTTTATTTTTCCATCTTAATTGTTGAGTTATATGACAAGTATTTTCAAAGAAAAACCTTCAACATTCAACATATGATATTCGACTGAAAACGACTATCAATCAAGCCATTTAATTTTTTTTCAAAACCCAATAGAAGATATTACTCAAATTATATTCCAATATATAAATTAATATCGTTTCATTAAAAATAAAAAAAAATATATATGCTAATTAAAATCAATTCAAATTACCTATAGAAAATAATTGTTCATAAAGTAAGGTATAATAATAGAAACAAAATGATGATTGAAAGTTAAGAACATGAAGAAAGACTTAGCAAGTAATAAAAGGAAGAAAAGGGGGGGAAAGGGCCGAAAAAGAAGGAAAAGAGGTGAGGCCCTAGGCTCAACTGAAAATAAAGGAAATCTTAATAAGTAGAAAAAATAAAAAATCAAAAGAGCTATGCTAACAGGGAATCGAACTTGCATTCATGAGGCCAAAGAAAGCCTCCAAAGGGAAGGAGGAACCAATGGCAGGAACCAATGGCACCTGCTTCCACTTTGTGACTTTGGAGTGTCACTCTATCCATATATACGTTGTTTCACAAAGATATTATGTACATAGTAAGAATTTTAGCGAAGCGAGCGAGTGCCGTGGTACCCCTACCTCATAAGGTAGATCTGCCCCTGTATATATATGTATGTTTGGTTTAAAATTGAATAAAATTAAATAATTTTTATTTTATTTTTAATTTTGGAGTTCTTAAGGACTTTAAGAGAAGAGCTTTCGGAGAAGCGCATTATTCTCATTCGATTATTTTATCCAGGTATTAGCTAATCCTCGTATTGTTATTAACATGATAAAAATAATAATCCCCAAATTATTATATCGAAATTGAAAATTCTAACCAAACACATGACAAAATAATCTGGCATTTTATTTCAGAATTATTTTCATTTATTCCTGATAATTAAGAAACCCAAAACGGTTATGCATGCTAGAAGGCACAATGTTCTAGACTTACGAAATACTATGAACCATCCCTTTGTGCCCATGCAAACTTCTGGACTATTACTCTAGCATGTAATCAAATTTCACTCACTGATATATTAAATTTTTTTGACAAATCATTATTAAAACTGATTAAGTGTTTATAATTAAACATGGATTTCTGATTTTGAAAGTAAGTCAAGAAACTTTTAGAGCAATTCAAATACAAGGGAAAATACATTCTCGTTCAAACACATTCTCGATCGCCTGCCTTTAAACTCTCAAAGATACCTCATACATAGGGAAAAGAGGAGAAACTAGAATAAAAAAAGACACTCCACAAGAAAGAAATATATAACACTAGCTTAATTAAGATGCTCGATTACGCAGGGTCCGGGGAAGGGCCACACCTTAAGGGTATGATGTGGACAGCGTACCCTAATACAAGCATTAGTGACTGCTTCCACGGCTCGAACCCGTGACCTATAGGTTGCACGAAGATAACTTTATATTGCTCAAGGCTTCCTTCTAAGATGCCTACAACAATTGGCAATAAATTATAACTTCTATTTGTGAGAATTAAGTAGGTTTTGTAATAGGGTATTTTTGAGCATTCTTGAGAATCTTGGTAAGAGCTGCTTGACCTAAATCAAGTCCACAAACATCAGCTAGCTGAACTAGATATAGCAAAACATCAGACAGTTCCTCCTCCAAATGTTCCTTATCATCTGATGTCCAGTTAGGTAGTCCTCTTGCAACTTCCCCTTTCCACTGGAATATCTCTGATAGCTCTCCCACTTCTCCAACCTGTTCCAACAATTACAAAATAGACTATAAGATTTATTCTTTTTTGATAAGGTAATAAATTTCATTAAAAATGGCGAAACATGCCCGTACACAAGAAGTATACCAAAAAAAAAAAAGAAAAATAGACTATAAGGTTCTTATATGCAAAGTACATGTATGTAGTCTATTTATAGACAGAGTTAGATCTGCGACAGATTCTGTGGGTTTAACTAAACTCTTTGTGCGACTAAAGCAAAAAATATTTCCAGATTTTTGGTCCATGAAAAAGAATTAGGTACACGCATGCGGATGGCATGTTGAGACATAATATGTTTAGTTAATTAAAAGTGTAATGTTGAAATTGTGTGACACGCTCATCTAGTTAAAAACTTAGAAGATAGTCACATAATATAACATACATATACATATAATAAGATCGCATTCATTGTAAATCTATGGACGGTTAATTCTGGATTACTATTTTTAAGACATGTTAGGAGGCTTACCAAAGCTAGAAGAAGATTCCTAGGACTGTGATACTGATCCCATCCTCTAACTTTGGCAAATTCAGCAAGCCTATCTCTAAGCTCCTGAAGAGAGACATCCTTCATTACTTTCCTACTATATTCATAGGAATTATTCTCCATCTTCTCTTATTAGTTAATTAGTAGCAGTAGTTCATGTTTCACTGTCTCCTTATCTCACTACTTATAGACAATCATCTATTGCTGTGTATGGTTTTTTTCTTCTTGTTTTCAAATTAATTTTTTTTTTTTTTTAAGATGGTGGGATTTTAGGAGATATGACTAGCTGAGTTTAGTTAGTGGAGGGGCCTTCTCACGTGAGGTATGGTAAAGATGTTTCTGTGTTTTTTTTTTCATGACTTGATATCACTCACTCTACATCACCTGCCTCAATTTGCTAGGAATATATGTTTCCTATTGGTCTATTATTGGACAATTCCTTTTTCCACATTAAATCTCTATCAGATCTCACCTACAGTATTTGCTTTTAGTTTCTTCCCCTAGCTAGCTAATTTGGATTTATCTCCTTCCACTTGTTGGAAGGTGGTAATTGAATTTATTTTGTAACCTTTTTGTTCATTTTGTTTTGTTTCTATGTTGCAATATTGTCATAAAAATTTGTTTGTCCTTTTTACTTTTAATCGTGGAGTCTAGTAGACAAACAGATAGCAAGATCCCCATATGCCGTACTTGGATCGTAAATTTCGGATTTATGCGGCTTTGATCAGGACAATATGCTATGTTTTGCCCGGTTGGAGACTTTGTGTCCTATTTGGGAAGAATTTAACTTATATACATTGGCATTGTAAAATATTTTTATGTTGCGGAAGATCGTAGGTTAACTAGCACGCAATCACACACAAAGTAAATAGAGAAGAAAAATCAACACAAGGATTTAACGAGGTTCAGCTAAGCCCAATCCTCGGGGCAGAAGCAGAGAGAGTTTTTCACTATGAATGAGAAGAAAAACACAATACAATCTACAGAATCTCCAACTACATCCCCTATATATAGATCCCAAATAGTCCCAAACCTATAAGAGAAAGGTTTTCTAATTTGACAAGGACTATAGGTTTTCCTTTCCCAAATCTATTAGGACAATGGATTTTCCTAAACCTATAGGGATTATGGGTATCCTAAAAATACAAGGAAATAATTCAAGCCACAAAATAACAAATCTTCCCCTTAGCTTGAATTCTCTTCATTAACAGGAACAACGTCTCTCTACCTTATCATCAGCCCTCACGAGGGCTCTACCCATTGTCGCACACATCAACCAAGTCTAGGCAACGCCTAAACTTATTAAGAGACTCAATATCTTTAGCCATAACACTAATTCGTCGATTTGGTTATGTACTCTGAATAGCTTCTGGATAGCTATAACACTCAAACGCATCAACAGTCTCTGCAACTGCCAAATCACCCACAGGATTTGAATATCCAAGAAGATTCACAGCAACTACGTTTGCAAACCTTTGTGTTCGGTTGATCATTCTCTTCTCTTTGCATGTTGCAATGCTATATGGTTGTTGTTGCACATGTGCATCAACATTATCATCTTGATCAATATTTTGTACCTCATCCACTTCTTCTACTTTAGAACTACTGGGCTGAGCTAGTGGAGATTGAATTTCTAGCTCAATGCGGTCACTGACACCACGATATGTTTCTGCTATTGTCTTCTCCCTCGGACTGTCCAATGAGGCAGATTCATTGAATGCTACATCGCTACTAATAATTAGCCCTGGAGTCTTTTGATTTGTGCACTACAACCTATAACCTTTTACTCCAGTTGCATACCCTAGAAATATGCACTTCTTTGCCCTCGACTCAAATTTTTCATCCCTAACATGAGCATAAGCAGGACAACCAAATATCCTTAAATTTGAATAATCAGCAGGCGAACCGGACTATACCTCAAAATGAGTTTTGAACTCAATAGCTGTGGATGGAGATCTGTTGACCAAATAACAAGCTGTATTGATTGCTTCAGCCCAAAATCCTTCCTAACACATGAGTGTGAAAGCATGCTTCGTGCCCTATCACAAAGCGTTCTATTCGTACGTTCTGTAACACCATTTTGTTGTGGTGTTCCAACACAAGTACGGTGTCTCACTATGCCCTCTCTGCTGCAGAAATTATCAAACTCGGAATTGCAAAATTCCAACCCATTGTCAGTTCGAAGACGCTTAACTTTTCTTTCCGTCTGCCTCTCAACCATTGTCTTCAATTCAACAAATGTCGGAAATGCCTCATCTTTTGTTTTCAGAAAATACACCCACACCATCCTTGAGTAATCATCAATCAAAGTCATAAAATACATGTCACCACTCTTGGAGGGAACTCTGTTTAGACCCCACAAGTCTGAATGTATATAATCTAACTTGTCTCTACTCTTGTGCTCGCCCTTCTTGCTGAACTTTACCCTTGTTTGTTTACCAAATACACAATACTCACAAAAATTCAAAACTTGATTTTTGTACCCATTCAACATATTCTGCTTACTCAACAAAGACAATCCCTTATCACTCATATGACCAAGTTGCAAGTGCCATATCTGAGACCGGTTCAGATCACTTTTTCAAGAAGTTACAACAGCTTCCCCTTCAACTACATTGGCCTAAAGATGATATAATTTAGAATGCAGTTTACCCTTTATGAGTACCATGGAGCCTTTACACACTTTAAGTATTTCATTCTTAGAGTGAAATTTATGCCCTTGATAATCTAAAGTCGAAAGAGAAATCAAATTTCTCTTTATCCGAGGAACATGCCAACACTCAATGTTTCTGATAATTCCATCGAACATTCTCAATTTGATGTTACCAATTCCCTCTACTGGTAATGGATTATCATCTCCTATGTAGACAATACTACTCATTTGCTTATAAGTTGCAAACCAATTCTTGTGTGGACACATGTGAAAAGTAGCACCAGAATCAAGAACCCAAGAATTATGCATATGACTAGAACTCACAGCACAGACTTCCCCTACATAGTCGCTATCATCAGAATTATTGCCAGTGTCAACAATATTTGCCGAATTATCTATTTTCTGCTTCCCTCTTTTCTCCTTCAGCTTAGGACAATCTCTCTTATAGTGACCTTGCTCCCCGCACTCATAGCAATTTTGCTTCCTTGCTTTAGACTTTGATCTGGCGGTTGACTTTTTCCTATTAAAGTCCTTTTGTTGTGTTCTTCCTCTAATCACAAGACCCTCGCCCTCAATTCTGCTATCTGGAAAACTCCTTTTCAACTCTTTAGATTTTACTGCATTACTAACATCTTCCAGTGAAATGCTGTATTTCCCATATAGCAACGTATCGGCAAAAGTATCATAAGACGGTAAAGAACATAACACAATCAAGGCCTGATCCTCACTCTCAATTTTGATATCCACGTTCTTCAAGTCCATTATAATTGAATTAAACTCATCAAGGTGAGTTTTAACATGTGTACCTTCGTTCATACGGAGGTTGTATAACCTATTTTTCAGGTAGAGGCAGTTTGTCAGCGATTTCTTAGAATACAGATCTTCCAGCTTATTCCATGCCATTGCTGCAGACGTTTCTTCAGCAATTTCCCGAAGAATGATATCTGTAACGCTCATGAAGATCGCACTCATAGCCCTCTCCTTCAGGTCAGCCTTCTCTGTCTCTTTCATCTCTTCAGAAAAATCCTCATCAATTGCCTTCCATAACCCTTGTAACATTAGGGACGATTTCATCCTAATCTTCAATAGACTGAAACTAGAACCCCCGTCAAATTTCTCTACTTCGTACTTTGTTGAAGATGATGAAGACATCTTAACCCTAGATTATATGTAGAAATCCGAACCTTGCTCTGATACCAATTGTTGCGGAAGATCGTGGGTTAACTAGCACACAATCACACACAAAGCAAATAGAGAAGAAAAATCAACACAAGGATTTAATTAACGAGGTTCGGCTAAGTCTAATCCTCGGGGCAGAAGCAGAGAGAGTTTTCCACTATGAATGAGGAGAAAATCAAAATACAATTTATAGAATCCCCAACTATAACCCATATATATAGATCCCAAATAGTCCCAATATAAGAGAAAGGTTTCCTAATTTGACAATGACTATAAGTTTTTCTTTCTCAAATCTATTAGGACAATGAGTTTTCCTAAACCTATAGGGATTATGGGTTTCCTAAAAATACAAGAAAATAATTCAAGCCACAAAATAACATTTTAAAATATCAATGTGACATACTATCATAGTAGATTATTTGCCTTATTTTACAGATTAATAATTCTACGAATCAGTTTACAAATTATAACATGTTACCTGTAATCATCGTGATCTTACACTGTAACTGTATAGAAGTTAAAACTTAATTGAGAATGATATTGCAAAAACCAGGCTTATGTTGTTCCAGCATGTTTATCTTATGTTGTGCAAGCATGTTTATCTTTATTTCAAAACATATTTAATATTTTACCTCTATATGTGGGTCAGGAGATCTTTATAGGATGAGATAAGATCTCAAGTTTTGCATAAAAGCCAACAGGAGCTAGGCTGTTTGTATTTTGCTCTTTCCTATTGAGATTGCACTCATATGCGATGAGGTTACTACTTTTCTTCAGAGCCATTATACATTATAAGAATATGGCGTCAAAAACATTATTTTATGGAGTGGCTTTTGGATAATCTTGTTAAACAAATGCTAAAGTATCTTAAAAGAAGGATGTTTTCTTAGTTCTGACTGTTTTTTATTCCTATTTTTTTTTGCTTTAGGTGATACAAGCGATCTCTCTCTTTATTTTATTTTGGCTCACACTTTATGGATATGTATGTCAGTCGATATGTTTGTCTAGATCCTCAGATTTGCCTATATCTCAAGAATTGGTCTAAACTCATTGAAGAGATTAGATGCAATAACCCCAGAATTAGCATAGGGAAAAGCATTCCTAAAATGATTAACTTGTCTTAATTCTGCCCATATTAAAAGAAAACCCAAATTAAATCTACAGCTTATCAGGAAACAGGCATAAAGGTGAACGTCAATCTGTCATATACAATTTTATAGCATGGAGATTAAATTGTCATATACTAGAATTTTCTAGCATAGAGATTTGAGCATATGCTCTCTTTCTTTCAAATGGTATTCTTGTCTAGCCTAGTTCCCCCTATGTATC